AGTACTGTATCATAAACTACAGCTGTACTCTTGACAAATACATCTTCACTACAGTACTGTATCATAAACTACAGCTGTACTCTTGACAAATACAACTCCACTACAGTACTGTATCATAAACTACAGCTGTACTCTTGACAAATACATCTTCACTACAGTACTGTATCATAAACTACAGCTGTACTCTTGAAAAATACAACTCCACTACAGTACTGTATCATAAACTACAGCTGTACTCTTGACAAATACATCTCCACTACAGTACTGTATCATAAACTACAGCTGTACTCTTGACAAATACAACTTCACTACAAAACAAATACATCTCCACTACAGTACTGTATCATAAACTACAGCTGTACTCTTGACAAATACAACTCCACTACAAAACAAATACATCTCCACTACAGTACTGTATCATAAACTAGAGCTGTACAGTACTCACTTCTACGCCACATCAGTAACTCTCAAGGTGTGGGGGACATAACACTTCATTACCAGGGTGTTTATGAGTACGACTGATTGAGTACATCCACGGTCTTTTGTGAGTCATATGTGAGTACTATTATCTTCTGTGAGTAATTACCATCTTCTGGATTAACTTCCGAGTCATTACCATCTTCTGTGAGCCATTACCATCTTCTGTGAGCCATTACCATCTTCTGTGAGCCATTACCATCTTCTGTGAGCCATTACCATCTTCTGTGAGCCATTACCATCTCCTGTGAGCCATTACCATCTTCTGTGAGCCATTACCATCTTCTGTGAGCCATTACCATCTTCTGTGAGCCATTACCATCTCCTGTGAGCCATTACCATCTCCTGTGAGCCATTACCATCTTCTCAGAGCCATTACCATCTTCTATGAACCATTACCATCTTCTGTGAGCCATTACCATCTTCTGTGAGCCATTACCATCTTCTGTGAGCCATTACCATCTTCTGTGAGCCATTACCATCTTCTATGAGCCATTACCATCTCCTGTGAGCCATTACCATCTCCTGTGAGCCATTACCATCTTCTATGAACCATTACCATCTTCTATGAGCCACAATTACCCTTCAGCGAGTACCATCACATAGCGTTGAGCCTTCTATCACTTCTTGACCATATTTTTCAACCTCAGAGAACTTGATTTACTCCTGGTTGGGGGCGTAGAGGCTGGTGTTGTCTTGGCACTGTCCACTGACCCTCGTAGACTCATCTCCTTGGCACCACTGAAAGAGAGGGAGAGGTGTGAGAGGGAGTTGAGTGTGAGAGGGAGGTGAGAGAGGGATTTGTGTGTGAGAGGGAGGTGAGAGAGGGATTTGAGTGTGAGAGGGTTGTGTGAGAGAGGGACGAAAGAGAGGAGGCAGAGGAGGGATTTGTGTGAGAGGGAGGTGAGAGAGATTTGTGTGAGAGGGAGGTGAGAGGGATTTGGGGAGAGGAGGCAGAGGGATTTGTGTGTGAGAGGGAGGTGAGAGAGGGATTTGTGTGTGAGAGGGAGGTGAGAGAGGGATTTGTGTGTGAGAGGGAGGTGAGAGAGGGATTTGTGTGTGAGAGGGAGGTGAGAGAGGGATTTGTGTGTGAGAGGGTTGTGTGAGAGAGGGATTTGTGTGTGAGAGATTTAGTTTAATATGAACACCTGGAATTATATACACTCACTCACTCACTCACTCACTCACTCACTCACTCACTCACTCACACACCACTCACCACCGGCCCACTCACTCACCTCACTCCACACACTCACTACACACTCACTCACTCACTCACTCACTCACTCACTCACTCACTCACACACTCACATATGTTTGGTAAGGTCCTCAATATCCACCAACATAGAGTCTTGTTCCATATGTAGGTCGTCTCTCTCCATCAAAAAGGTCACCAGGTCCTCATTCAAACCTGTAACAAAAACAACAGGTCACATCAGGTCACACCAGGTCAATAAATAATAATATGAAACCTACATCATGTTAATAAAGTTACAAAGCCTTTTATTTAGATTTATAAAATATTAATAAGATACTAAAGTGTCTTATTACACTTATATAAGTTATTAAGTGTTTTATTTATGCCTAAAACAGATTAATAAGTCACTATATAATAATTCAAACCTAAACCATTAAACCTTTTCATCTAAACCTATTATAAATTGGTTATTTTTGGTGGTAATTTGGTGACAGTAATAAAACCATTAGCCAGATTCCCTCAGACCCGGAATTGAAATTTCCTCGGAAAATCGTTCCCAAATCCGGAATTTTTCATGAAAATTCCGGATTTGGGAACGATTTTCCGAGGGTCACATTTTCCGGCAAATTCCGAGAAAATTTCCCCGATACCCAGAAAATTCCGGGGAATGGGGGATATTTTTTTCCGGGTTCGAGAGAGTCGTCCGGTTACCTGGAAATGTGTCATTCCTGGAAGTGTTCTGGACCGACTGTTCCAGCTAACGAGGATAATACTGTTGTTATTATTATTTATGTTATTCAATGAGTGAATCAGGTGTGTTAAGAGTTTATGTTGAACTATGAGGTATGTGGTAGAGGGTTAATGAACTATGCGGTATGAGGTTTACTCACTCTCAATCTGCGTGTGGAGGTCGTTAACTATCACCTGAAGTTGGGCCACGTTCATATCTGTCAGAATCTGTCTACTGATCCTTCTCTTGCTGTCAGGGAAGGGGACACCGATCTGAAACACACACGACGACTATTATGGTGTACTCTGGGGGTGTACTCTGGGGGTGTACTCAAGGGTGTTAACTTATTGTACTCAAGAGGATATGTCAACATACAGAAATAGTTAAGGAATTTTCTCTAAAGTTTAATATATAAAAATATCTTCAACATTTGAGTACAATGGCAAACTAATCGTACTCAAGGAGTTAATTAATTTTCCCTGGAGTTTGAGGAGAATATTAAGAGTACAATGTTACATATTTCTTAAACCTAACCGAATCTAACCTAACCAAAACCTAACCTAATATAACCCAATTTAATCTAACCTAAACAAAACCTAACCTAAACTACCCTAACGCTAATCTAACCCAACCTAATCTAACCTAACCTAACCAAACCTCACCTTGTTAAAACTGGCTCTAACAATATCAGCAATGGGGCTCTTCTTTTTACTCTGTTTCTCTATCTCCATCTGCATCCTGGCCATCTCCTTGGCCTGGGCGAGGGCCATGCGTGCCTCGGCCTGCAGCTGTGCTTGTCGGGCGAAGAAGTCGACCTCCTTCTCCCGCACGTCGGGTTCGGAGCGAGACGCACACGTTCTTAGGGCCTGGGGTGTAGAGGCCTGCCGATACCAAGTGACCATTATAGTATTTCTACCCTGACTTGACCCTTAAGCCACGCCCCTCTTGTATACTAACAGCTGATTGGTTCCCCTGTGTACCTGGGCCATAAGCCACGCCCCTTCGTCTATACTAACATCCGATTGGTTTCCCTGTGTACCTGGGCCATAAGCCACGCCCCTTCGTCTGTACTAACATCTGATTGGTTTCCCAGGTACTCAGGGGAACCAATCAGATGTTAGTATATAAGAGGGGTGTGTCTTATAGGTCAGGTTAGTGTGGTAAAGGTACAGCTACATACAGTGTGATGTTGGTGGTGATGGACTACAGTAGGTTCAAACTGAGACCAATTATGAGACATTTTAACCTTTATTGATCACCTGAGGTAGTCCCCCCCATGTGCTCACCTGAGGATTAGTCCACCAAGAGCTGACCTGAGGATTAGTCCACCAAGTGCTGACCTGAGGATTAGTCCACCAAGTGCTGACCTGAGGATTAGTCCACCAAGTGCTCACCTGAGGATTAGTCCACCAAGTGCTGACCTGAGGATTAGTCCACCAAGTGCTGACCTGAGGATTAGTCCACCAAGAGCTGACCTGAGGATTAGTCCACCAAGTGCTGACCTGAGGATTAGGTCCACCAAGTGCTGACCTGAGGATTTCTAGTCCACCAAGTGCTGACCTGAGGATTAGTCCACCAAGTGCTGACCTGAGATTAGTCTACTAAGCAAGGATCTGAGGATTAGTCCACCAAGTGCTTATCTGAGTGATTATCCACCAAGTGCTGACCTGAGGATTAGTCCACCAAGTGCTGACCTGAGGATTGGGGTCCACCAAGTGCTGACCTGAGGATTAGTCCACCAAGTGCTGACCTGAGGATTAGTCCAAGTGCTGACCTGAGGATTAGTCCACCAAGTGCTGACCTGAGGATTGGGTCCACCGGAAGAGCTGACCTGAGGATTAGTCCACCAAGAGCTGACCTGAGGATTAGTCCACCAAGTGCTGACCTGAGGATTAGTCCACCAAGTGCTCACCTGAGGATTAGTCCACCAAGTGCTGACCTGGAGGATTAGTCCACCAAGTGCTGACCTGAGGATTAGTCCACACATTGACCTGGAGACAGTCCACCAAGTGCTGACCTGAGGATTAGTCCACCAAGTGCTGACCTGAGGATTAGTCCACCAAGTG